GGTCGTGACTACTCACGCCATCTGGCCTTGGAGTGGGACTAATAGGGCTGGAAGGAGGGATCTCTGTGACGTAGCGAACCCTCCTTCCCCGGTAATGGCTCGCCCTAAAGTCCCCGCCATATCTGCCCCTCCCTGTTATGACCCTAATGTTCCACATCATCACTTAGAAGTCAACTGCCTGGAAGCACCTTCTCGGTTGTAGTTTTCATTCTTTGAGGAACATGCATGTAAGTCAGCAGTTTATTGCTGTTCAGGACATTGATGTCTGCATGAGCCTCTCTTACATTCAGTCCAGCTGTTGTTCTAATCCCACTTACGGGTGATTGTGCATTTAATCAGAATGGTAACATCACTAGACCTACTTTGCTTTCTTACCAAGACAAAAATGTTGAATTCTAAACTTGCGACTCTACCACAAGGATAAAGAGCTGCAGTATACCCAGTAAAGGCCTCTGTGAGTTGGCATCAGCCCAGATTACTTCAGCACAATCTATTGGACACAGAATAACCTATTTATTGCTTGATTATTCATTTAAAATGTGCAAAATGCTGATATACCCAGTGATACCTTCCTTAGCACATACCAGACTCTATCTAGCATGGATCAAAGCAAAGCACCAACATCAAGCATCACTTTTATTTCCAGTAATGCTTCTGGGGTCTAGTATAATTCTTAGAAAATAAAAACGGCAAGTAACTTAACCCTGTGCTTTGTAGATATGCCTACCTAACTCCTCAGGAAAAAAAGGCAAAGATGAATCGAGTGGTGGAAAACATTGTGAAAGTTTTGAGTGGTTGGCAGGGAGCAATTTCCCAATGTGTCTTCTGGCTACTTCATTAAGGGGAGTCATTGTGTAGGACATATTCTCAAAATTAAAAAATCCAAATCCCACTTAGGCCCCTGGATCTAATACTATTATACCCTTATATTGGTACTTATAATATAAGCATCTAATTCAGGCCTTGGCATGGTCCCTGGGCCACATTCAGCTTTTGGCTGTCCCTGTCCAGCCCACATAAGGGCAGTTTATCAAATGTAAATAAGCATGCCGCAGGGGGGCAGGAGACAAAGGCAAGTCGGGCCGGCTCTGTGCAGTTGCCATGCGCTCGTTCCTTCAGTAGGAGCTGCAGGGGGTGGGGGTTGAGGAGAGATAGCACTTTTCTGCTCCTGCATAGCACTCCCTCATAAATCCAAAGCGATAAGATGATGGAGTTTGAGGACATCAAATCAGTTCAGCTCTTCACAGTCCCAGTATTTCATGTGGGCCCTTGGGAAAATTAATTGCCCATCCCTGATCTAGGGACGCACCGTCTATTTGAATCTCAGATAGCATGTTCCCTATTGTACGATAAGGAGAGCACCTTAATTACGAGGCTGCCCAGCTGGGCATCAATTATTTTGTCCTGCATAAAAGCACAAGAGCTAGATGTTAATGAGAAAATTGCATTCCACTATACTTATTCTGCTTTCTTATCTCTTACCTGGCAGGATTTGTTCAAGGGATTTGCCCGACACCTCTCTCATTTGTTGGCTGCAGACAAAAGTAGCTTCCGCAAAACAGGTGAGTTTGCCAAATAAAGCATGGGATGAAGGAATGTCTTGTGCTTTGTCCCTCCTATTTTGCAAAATTATTGAGATCTCTAATACTCAACTCTTTTTTGGTATGAGGGGATAGGGTATAATGAAGTTTGGTTAGCATTTATGATGTGATGGAAATGTTTGAAAATGTGTTGCCAATAAAGTATAGGTATTGGAAATATATATGACTTTCAGTAAGTGGAGATAGTTTTCTGCACATTTTTCTTGCTCACCATTGGCTCACTCTCATTTGTTTGTTTTTTTGCCCCTCACATCATGGACATAAATTGTTTCAACTTCTACCCTCAAAATGACGCTATAGGGCCATGATGGCGAACCTATGGCACACGCTCTCTGTGAGCACACATGCCTTGACCAGCTGCTCTTCTGGCTTCTGGTGCACCAATCTTCGCAAGTGCCAAAGCACTGGAAAACTCCCCAGTTCTGTTGACCGTATTTTGCAAATACTGTTTGAGTCAATAGGCACAATTTGCATTTGGTAATTAATGAGAGGTGTGATAAATAAACTGTGATTGAGAATGTCATTATCTCAGGTGCCACTCTTTCTGTTTGCAGTGAAAGAAGAAGCGCAGAGGCTGATCAAGACATTTTTCAAAAGCCGAGACAAGTGTGAAAGCGAAACAGACTGGCAGGAGCTGGCCACTTTTGAAACGTGACTCACGAAAGGCCCTGCTTCACTTTGCTGGTTGTGACAGAGGACTGTCCCTCCATGTTTCACTATAGCTACGCTTTGTAACAATGCAATGGGGAAGAGGAGGGGAGAGGGCAGTTGGGAGATAGAGGCGCCAGGGTTAAGGATTAGATAGATTTTCTCTATCTGAAAAAAAGGCATGTTGCTGTCAGGTTTTGAGAGCAACCCACTTTCTTCCTTCTAGCAAGTATGAGTGAATTCAAATTTTATTATTTGGCTAGGCATATAATTATGTCTGGAGAGTCTCCAGTCTTTTAATACAGATTTTACTGGCAGCTACCTTAAATAGAAGAAATGCATTTGCCTCAGTCAGGATTTCTTTGCTGTGAGAGTAACATGTTAGAGAGTACTTTGGGAAAGACCAGTTAATTTATAATTGGAAGGAAACCTGGAAGGGTTATTTTAGCCAAAGCTCTTTAGATTTCTGTTCTTTTATGGTGTTGACATGTTTCTTTTATTCCAAAAGTGTTCCCTTGCATTTTTCCCTCAGTTGGTAATATAATAACAAATTAAATGCAGCAAATTAAGGGCATAGCAGCCAGTACTAATTAAATACATGCAGTGCTTTGGTTTTTTTAAAGTGCTATTTAGAGTGGGACTTCCAATGTGGGCAACAGGAACTATTTTGATGCTTAGGTTTTCCTACATTATTTTTGTTCCCAATTCCTGCTTCAGTAACTCTGCTCCCCTATTAAGTTATAAATGCACAATTAAGGAATCCTGTCTTCCTTCTGCATCATCTGTCAGTATTTGCAATGTGTACTTCGGGGACACCCTGCCAGCTACCCTGATAGCTCTTGGTGTAATTTTCCTTTATCTCCCACCAATATGACCAGAGTCTTTGTTGGCTGGGAACAATGGACGTTATGCCTTTAGACTGAGTTTGGTAGGAGAGTTCTGAAATGTTATTTTTAAGGAGAGAATTAATATTGTGTCTTGCTTCTGTTCCTAGTTGGCATGACTTTCTTTATCCAAGAGGGACTATTACCTACCTCTTATGGTTAGAAATGTCTAGTTAGGAGCAGATTTTTCTTTTCATAAAACCTCAGGAATAAAGGTCAATACCTCCCTTCCCAAAGATTCTGTTCTTTGATATTAATTGAATGGAAATGCCTGATATATTTAAGGAAAATTGCCATTGCAGTATCAGTGCACATTGCTCTAAAATTATGTAGTAGTAATATTTTACATTGCATTTTTATTTTTTGCATATGGAGTAAATTTTAGACCCTTGCAGATCATTATTCACAGACTTTTTCAATGGGTTTCAAAGGCTGTTACACAGATTATTTGTATGGTGAGGAGCTGTAATGTTTTGAGGGACCCCTGGCTTTGCCACATTATAAACATGGGTTTGATGTATTAAAACATGCTTTTAGGTAAATAATGTAAAATTAGCACTTTAAAATATAAAAAATGTGAGAAATTATCAATTACTGTAGTAGTCTCCAATTCCCATCTCGAAGTTGAGTTGCTTCAAATAGTTTTGTTTTCAGGTAAGAAAATTTTTTTTACAGCTCACATTCTCTATAATAAGTAGAGAAATAAATGCACATTTGAAAGAGATGAGTTAGTTCTTTTCATATGTCACATACGTAAAAGCCATACTATTGTACTGTGCCTCCAATCTGGACCTAACTAGTAGCTCAGTATTATGGCAAAGTGACCCTACAGAGCTTATAAGGAAAATGCTGTTTTATTGATATTTAAGAGAAACTGAATATATTTGGGGAGTCTTGATTAAAATTGTAGTTTTTATCATTATGGTTTTTTGACCTGTGCCTTAGATCTGTCCCTGCCACTGATCTTTCTGATGTTGAGAGCTGATAGATAAAAGCAGAATTGTGGAAGAGATCAACAAATTAGCTTCTGCTGGAAAAAGAGGGTTTGTAACTTTAAAGGTACATGGCAAGCTGCTAATAAAATTAATGTTAAAGATGTTACTCTAGTGGCCTTTATTTATTCAGAACAAAACTGTGTGTTTCTGGTAAAGTTAATCGGTGACTACCTAGCATAGTCTGTGAACTATGAATTTCCAAATGGGAACCATTCTGCATTCCATGTAAAGTGCACTTAATTTGTTGTGGTCAACAGCTGAACTGATTTATTTCTGACTGCAGTGTATCTTAAATGACACAAACACATTTTCCCCCCTTGCAACCCTGAGGGCCTACCAAATGTGAAGGGGGGGGCAGAATGAGTTGATTATTTGTTTATATCAAATGTTTACATAGAATAAAAGGCTAATCAAAAGAGAGAGAAAAGGAAACAAAGGAACAGAAAGAAAAAAGTATAAGAAATGAAAAAGAAAGATTTTGTAACATATACAAAATCAGTTTATCATGAATCTTTTCTCATTCATTATCCTCAACTCCCAATGAAAAGAATTCTAGTTTCAATTGGAGGCGGGGCTTGATGTCACAACGACACAACATGCAATATCTCTGTTCCTGAATGGTCCTTTTGGACCTAAACTGTTCTGAAGGAACAGTGATAGAGAAGAGCATGTCCTGCTGATCTCAGGGACATCGCAAAGTCCCTGATTGATCCAGAAGAAAGCTCTTTTTGCCAGCTACAAGAAAAGCAGCCAAAGTGGCTGCAGAAGGTTGGGAAAAGCCCCTGAAACAGAAGCAGTACAGGAGAGACAGTGTGTCGGAATGGTGAGGAAAAAAAATTATTATTAAAGAAGAGAAAACCCCAAAGACTTGGAGTTTAAAATAAAATTAAAGACAGAAGAAAATAAGCGGCGAATTAACCCTGGTTTAAAACTATCGTGTTATCTCTTCTTCCTTAACTTTGTTTTTTATGGATGGACTTTTTACAAATGCCTCTTCCTTTTAAATTGGACTGGTCTCTTTTTTTCATTCTTCCCCTATACTTTTTTCCATTTTTTGAATTCGTGGACTAAAAGTTTCTTCTCTCATAAGGCTTGGATGGAGCATAATTTTTAAACATTTTTTTCCTCTTC